GCACGTACCTTGGTGACAGTTTGTCCCCGGCTCTGGTTGGGGTCGTGCGGGTGGCAACCAGTTGATGTGTCTCTCTCACATTAATGTTTCTCTCTCTCTCTTCTTCCCTCTCTAGCTGAAGATAAATGCAAAAATGTCCTTGGGTGAGGATAAAAAAAAAAATTATGTGATTTGCCCTGGCCAGTCTAGTTCAGCAGTAGAGCATCGGCCCGCAAACCAATGAATCTCGGGTTCAATTCTGGCTAAGGCCATGTACCTCGGTTGTAGTTTGTCCCCGGCCCTGGTTGGGTCGTGCAGTAGGCAGCCACTCAATGTATCCCTTTCACGCCAATGTTTCTTCTCTCTCTCTCCCTCTCTTCCTCTATCTCCTTCCCACTCTATCTGAACAAAAAATGGAAAAATGTCCTTGGGTGAGGATTAAATAAATAAATAAAAATTATATGATTTTTAAAAAAATCCTCACCCGAGGATATGTTTTTATTGATTTTAGAAAGAGGAAGAGAGAGAGAGAAACACTGATGTGAGAAAAATTGAGTGGTTGCCTCCCACACGCACCCTGACTAGGGATCGAACCCATAACCCAGGCGTGTGCCCTGAATGGAAATTGAACCTGAAAACTTTTGGTGTACGGGACAACACCCCAACCAACTGAGCCATGCATCCAGGGCTGGCCTATGCTCTTTCCGCTATTTCTGGCAGGTATCTTACCAAATATCTAGGGACTGGCAACAAATGTGGAAACCTGAATAGCCCTTTCTGAAGTGCAGGGAAAAACCAAACTGCCAATCCTCTAAGTCAGTGGTTCTCAAAGTGTGGTCCAGGAAATACTGGAGGTCCCTGAGACACTTTCAGGAGGGGTCTGCAAAGTCAAAAGTATTTCATAATAAAACTAAGATGCTATTTGATTTTCCCCCTTCCCTCCCTCCCTCCCTCCCTCCCTCCCTCCCTCCCTCCCTCCCTCCCTCCCTCCCTCCCTCCTTCCCTCCTTCCTCCTTCCTTCCTTCCTTCCTTCCTTCCTTCCTTCCTTCCTTCCTTCCTTCCTTCCTTCCTTCGTGTATGGTGGCGGTTTTAAGAAGCTGTACAACTGACTGAATGCAGAAGCAGATATGAGAATCTAGCTATTTTCTCTTAAGCCAGACATTAGATTTGTAAAAATGTAAAACATCTTTGGGCAGTTTTGCTCAGCGGTTAGAGCGTCAACCTATGGACCAAAGAGTTGTGGATTCTATTCTGATCAAGGGCACGTACCTCAGTGGTGATTTGATCCCCAGCCCTGGCCTTGGTCCAGGTCATGTGGGAGGCGGCTGGTTGATGTGTCTCTCTCACATCGATGTTTCTCTTTCTCTCTCTTCCTTCCACTCTATCTAATAATCAACGGAAAAATATCCTCAAGTAAGGATTTAAAAAGAAGTAAAACATTGTCTCTCTTCACTCCCCCTCCCACTTGGAAATGTTATTTTTTAAATTAAAATATTACATTATATGTAATGTGTTTGTTATTGTAATTTTGGGGCAGATTTTAAAATGGAGATATAATTCACATAACATAAAATTTACCTTTTCTTTTTAATCCTCACCTGAGGACATTTTTCCATTTTTTGTTCAGATAGAGTGCGGAAGGAGAGAGAGAGAAAGAAACATCGACATGAAAGGGACACAGGGAGGGTTGCCACCCGCACGACCCAACCAGGGCCGGAGACAAACCGCAACCAAGGTACATGCCCTTAGCGGGAACTGAACCCAGGTCTCTCTGGACCACAGGCCGACGCTCTACTGCTTAGCCAAACCGGCCAGGGCTAAAATTTACCACTTTTAAGTGTACAGTTCAGTGGATTTTTAGTATATTCATTATGTTGTGCAACTATCACCACTGTCTAATTACAAAACATTCCCATCGCCCCCTAAAAAACTCCATACCTATTGGTGTTACTGGAAAGGGTACCTAGCCCTGAGCCACAGTAGTGTGTGGATTCTTGACCTCGTTCAGGAAAGCTTTCACAACAGAGCCCAGGTGATTTTTAGAGGATGTTTATTAAAGCTGGGGACAGTGAAACAAGGAAGGGCCTAGGATAGAAGAAGCAACAGGAGAGGGACTAGGTGGGGAAATGAGCCTAGGCTGGGTTACTTTGGCTCACTAAGAAGTCAGAGAAAAGCTAGCTTTGGGGACAGGTCCACTGCCCATTGCTTCCTGGTTCTAAGTCACTTGGGGTCCCTTAGAGTTTAGGAGATGCATGCCTCTCAGGGAAGAAAGCAGGGGAAGAAAAAGGCGTGGGTGAATTTCTAGGAGGGATAGCTGTGCTGGGACCTTCGTTTTGAGAGGTTTTAAAGGCTGGACGTTTAGGGGAGGATCTCAATAGAATACATCAGTTTTATGCTAATGTGCCAAAAATGAGATTTATTCCCTTAACTTCATTTGTCCTTGGGTGTGGTTGTCGAATGGCACTAATTGGATTTCTGCTGTCTCCCTGAGTGGGGTGATTTAAGCTATTTACCCTCTGGTTGGGAAGAAGTGTAAACCATTTACTCCTAAGTGTCCTTGGTTTAGGGAAGATAGGATGTTTCTATTTACTAGATGACTGTAAACTGCTTGGCCATTTAACTATCTGTCTCAGTTTCCCTATTCCTCTTGTTTTGGCTGACTAGCCTGTCTCATTAGCAATAGTCCCAGTACACCAACCTCTCACCATCCTCTGGCAATTGCTAATTTACTTTGTCTCTATGGGTTTGTTACTGTAATTAAAAAAAAAATAATATCCTTGCCAGGCCTGTGTGGCTCAGTGGATTGAGCATGGTCCCGTGGACTGAGGTTCCAGTTCAACTCCCTGTCAGGGCACATGCCTAGGTTGAGGGCTGGGGCCCCAGTAGGCGAAGTGGTGAGGGAGGCAGCCGATCAATGATTCTCTTACATCCATGTTTCTATCTCACCCTTCCTCTCTCTCTAAAAAACAACAACAACAACAAAAAACCAATAAAAACATATTTTTAAAAAAATCCTCACCAGAGGATATATTTTCATTGATTTTAGAGAGAAGAGGAAGGGAGAGAGAGAGAGAGAGAAAAAAAAAAAAACATTGATTGGCTGCCCACTGCATGCACCCTGACCAGCTTGATCCTTGGCAACCTTTTAATGAATGGGATGACACTCCAACCAACTGAGCCACCTGGCCAGGGCTGTTACTGAAATTTTTTTTTTTTTTTTTTTATCATCCTCACCTGAGGACATTTTTCCATTTTTTGTTCAGGTAGAGTGGGAGGGAGAGAGAGGAAGAGAGAGAGAGAGAGAAACATCGATATGAAAGGGACACATCGAGTGGCTGCCACCCACACAACCAACCAGGGCCGGTGACAAACTGCAACCGAGGTACATGCCCTTATCGGGAACCGAACCCGGGTCTCTCCGGACCGCAGGCCAACGCTCTAACCGCTGAGCCAAACCGGCCAGGGCTGTTACTGAAATTTTTAAGTGTATTAATACATATTTTAAATTTGTTTTAATTTCTCATAGTAAATATAGATAGATAAAAACCCATAGAAACAAAAGACCGTTGGGGCCTCGATTTTGTTGTTAATACTCACCTAAGGATATTTTTCTATTGATTTTTTTAGATAGAGTGAAAGGGTCGGAGGGAGGGAGAGAGAGAGAAACACTGATGTGAGACACATCGATTGGTTGCTCCCCCATGCAGGACCCCGGCCGGCCGCTGGGCACAACCCTTGAGTTGGCAGGCCAGTGCTCTAACCACTGAACCACTGGCCAGGGCATGGGCTTTCCTTTTTAAGACTGTAAAGGGAGCCCTGGCCGGTTTGGTTCAGTGGTTAGAGTGTTGTCTGTGGTCCAGAGAGACCCAGGTTCGGTTCCCACTAAGGGCATGTACTTCGGTTGCAGTTTGTCCTCGGCCCTGGTTGGGTCGTGCGGGCGACAGCCACTCCATGTGTCCCTTTCACGTAGATGTTTCTCTCTCTCTCTCTCTCTCTCTCTCTCTTCCTCTCTCACCTTCCCGCTCTGTCTGAATAAAAAAGAAAAAGAATGTAAAGGGATTCCAAAGCCAAACAATTGAGAACCACTGGTCTAATATTTGTTTTTTAATAGGTTGGACATAATGTCTAAACAAGGTCCCTACCAGCAGCTCAAAGATGCGATGATCTTCCCAGTTTAACCTGTAGGATATGGGACCTTGGGTGAAGGTGACTAAGAAACATACCAAACACGCCTTGACCGCTCGCTCCGACATGCTGAATGCTGAGTCACAAAGAAGGGGACGTCTGAGCCGGTCTCCTTGGCTCAGACTGCGACATGAGGGGGCACATCTGGCCTCTGCACCTCACTTGGTGGCGCTGGGCTTAGCAGGCGGGGTGCCGCGGGCGTGTCCGCAGTGCGGCCAGCGCGCCCGCACCAGGAGACTTGCAGCGGTTCAAGCCCCGCCGACTGGCGCCGGGGTCAAGTCCCGCAGGCCGCGCAACGACCCGGTCTCACAGGCGCGAAACCACCTCGGAGGCAAAACTGTAGAAAGTGAAGATCGCTACCAGTCGTTTAGAATAACCCCGTTGCTACGCAACATTTTCCTTATTCATATAATCGCCTCTTCTGCTGCGAAAGGAGTATTCGGTTTAGGGAACTTTTTGGATAAATAGATTAAGTTCCTTTGGTTACTGTCTGCTTGATTTGTACCACAATTCTCGCAGCTATTTGAGGGGGAAAATGAGGCAAAAGCCCGTAGTTTACGCAAATCTACGCCTCGAAACTGGGCGGCGCTCAGCAGCTCCCCTAAAGGCCACAGTCGCCAACACCTCGGGCGCCCGAGTTTGCTCCGGAGCGCGGGCCGAGACGTCAACGGCTGGGTGGCTAACGTGCGCGCATGCGTTCTCCTGCCGGGGAGCCTTTTTCTCGCAGGACTCTGAGGCGAGCCCTAGAGGGCGGGATAGTTGCAAGCCGCAGCAGGGGCTTCCGGCGGCTAATAGCCATGATTGGTGGAGCCTAAGAAAGGGGCGGGGCACCGGGAAATTCGAATGAGAGAGGCGGACCAAAGGAGATAGTGGAATGGACGCCGGGGTCCCGGCGCAGCTGATGCGACGCGAGATGGCGGCGGCGACCTCAGGTACGTGAGCCCGGCCTGGGCTGGGCGCCAAAGTCTGGAGCCTGGTGGGGTAATGCGTCGGAATCCGATCTGGGTTCCGGGGGTTGTCCCGGAGGGGCGCGGGGACAGGCGGCAAAAGGTGAGAGTCGCAAGCTGGTCAGCCCACCTCGCTCTTTCCGTCTCACTGTTTCCTACTCTCCGCGCGGAGCCTTAAAGCCTCATTTGAGTCCAGCGTACTTTTCCTCTGTGAGCTTCAGTTTCTTTGTAAAATGGGGACGATGGCCCTATCTCAGGAGAGTATGTGAGTAAGCAAGCGAAAAGTGGCAAACACTCCAACCGTGAGGACAAAAAGAAGGGAGCTGCATGGAGATCCCTGAGAGAGGTAAGAGGACAGGTCGCAGTTTAGACGGACTGCAGCTGGGTGTGAGTTGACAGCGTAAGATGTACTGATACCACAGAAAAGAGAAATAAGGGGCTGTTTTCTTTCACTTTAGCCGTGGAGGTCAATGCTGTTTTAGGGTTGGAAAGACTGTTAGCACATTCAGAATCTTGTATGTATTTGTTTACATAAGTGTCTGCTCTCTTCCTGTAGACTGAATTCTGGTCAGTGGTTATGGTGGGCACCACAGTAATTTATTTCGAGTCCCTGTTTGTCAGGCCCTGTGGAGAAACAACGCTACCTAATAGAATGACAAACACATGTTGAGCCCTTGCTAGGTGCCAGGCACAACTGTAAACACTAGATGGTGATGAATCATTTAATCTCCACATAATGCTATGAGGTGGTTTACTATTATTGTCTTTGTTTTACAGGTGAGGAAACTGAGGCATAGATGGATTAGATAGATTGCTAAAAGTTAACATAACTGATAGATATTGGGGTCTTGAATTCACACTCAGGCAATCTGACTCTGGAGCCTCTGCTCTTAACCATTATGTCGAAGTACATAAAATTCCTGCTGTCTGAGCACAACCTGCTCTTATCCTTCCAAGACCCACTGTGTCTGATACATAGTAGGTATCATAAAAACACTTGACTGAATACAGTCCCTTCCATAGAGGAGCTTATAGTCTGTTTTAGTAGCTAGACAGTCATATAAACATAATAACATGAAAAGCAATGAGAGAGATATATAAACTGCTGCAGAGAGTACAGAATCCGAAGTAAACCCTTGGGTAATCTGGAAGAACTTTATTAAGGAAGTGATACTTGAGGTGTGTTTCAAGGTTTGGGTAGGAGTTTGCCAGACCTTGGTGGAGCAAAAACACTGTCAAGTGATTTCTTATTTATGATGTAAAGGGAAGCCAAAGATGCTTTCTTTGGCTATATTTCCTCATCATAAAAGAGGGAAGAGTTAAGTTGAATGAAACTTGGGACTTGTGGGAGAGGGGAAAATTAGAAGAAATAAGTGCTAGCCTCGCCCAACCTCAAAGCTGCTTTTACTATGAAGGGAAGAGACTCTTGTCCTGTAAGCAGTTGTTTACATGGTGCCTCTTCTTCTCCTGGACCTGTGAGCTTTGGGGTAAGAATAGCAGTGAACCACTTTTATCATGAAAACAGGAAATGAACAAGTTAATGGTTTATGTTTGTTTATTCATCAAATCTTAATTTGTTCAGCAAATACCCTCTGAGAGCCTACTCTGTGCTAGGTATTATGAATATAAAGGTGAGCAGAGTAAGATTTGTTTTCACTGAGTTTACAGTTAGATGGAGAAGACAGACAAATATGCAGTTACAGTGGCGTGTGATTAGTGCTTGGATGGAGCCGTGTGCTTAAATCGAGCCATGGGTGCACCTAACTGAGCCTTAGTGGGGCAGTCATTTTACAAGGGAAGGTTTTTTTAGAGAAAGTAAGGTGTGTTTACCTCAGTTACTTGGTAGGGGTGAATGGGGTACAGAAAATATTCCAGGGAGATAGACTAGCATGTGTAAAGGCCCAAAGGTGGGAACGAACTTGGTGTGTTGTGGGAACTGAAGGAAATCCATTATGGCTGAGTGCTTACAGTGTAAGAAAGGAAGTAGAGAGAGAATGATTGGAGGGGAGAGACACTAGAGGCAAGGAGACCAGTTGGGAGACTGTTGAGATGATGATGACCTTGGCAAAGATTGTGCAGTGGGAATAAAGAGAAGTAGACGCGTTTAAAAAGGTAGAATTGACATATGTAATGAATAACTGATGTGGGAAATGAGAGAGAAGGTGAAGTTAAGAAAGATTCCCATCTTTGTGTTGGTACCTTTCATTTCTGTTAGAGAGCATAGAAGGAGGAGGATGTCGCAGAGATGGGGAAGAGTTCAGTTTAGGACAGTTGGAGTTCCAAGTACTTTCGAACCTTATAATCTGGCAGGGCAGCAGCCTGGAATGTAGATCTGAAGAGTTCAGGAGAGAGCTCTGGTGTGGAGGTGTCAGTTAGGATTAATAAGCTTTAAGATGGTAATTAAAGCCAAGAGAGCAGGTGACCATGCCCATGAAATGAATCAGAGTAGTGGTTCTTAACTAGGGGCAGTTTTGTTTCCAATGCGGACATTTGTTTCCCATGGAGTTATTTTTGGTTGTTACAGTTGGGGAGAGAGGTGGCACAAAATGCTACTGGCTTATGTGTTCAGCATGCATGCTAAATACCCTACAATGCACAGGACAGCCCCACCACAAGAATTATTCAGCCCAAAATGTCAGTAGTGCCAAACTGAGCAAACCTGGTCTAGAGAGAAGAGAGAAGGAGCCTAGAAAAAAACAGTTAAGAATGGCAGAAATTGAGAAGGCGTGAACAGTGTAGGTGGCATGGAAAATAAGGGAAAAGTATATTTCCCAAAGGAAAACAGATCAGGGTGTTGAATACTGCTGGGAAGTCAGATAGGAAGGGGATCAAGCATGTCTACTGGATTCAGCAGTAAGGAGTTCATTGCTAACCCTGCTGAATGGTGAGAGCAGAAACAAGTTGCTGCCTTGAGAAGTGAGTAGCAAGAGAAGTAGTGTAATGATAACAGTAGCTAACATTTACTGAGCACTTGCTGCCAGCACTGTGCTAAACATTGTATGTACATTTTTTCTTTGACTCCTCACAATCTTATGAGGTTACTGTTGTTATATTTTATTTTTTTAAATCCTCACCCGGATATTTTTCCATTTATCTTCAGATAGAGCAAGAGGATGGGAGAGAAAAAGAAAGAGAGAAACATTGATATGAGAGAGACACATTGACTGGTTACCACCCACACTACCCCAGCCGGGATTGGGGACAAATGGCAACCAAGGTACGTGCCCTTGGCCAGAATCGAACCCAGGACTGTTTGGTCCACAGGCTGACAACTCTAACCGCTGAGCCAAACCTACCAGGACAGTTATTTTTATTTTTATTTTTTTAATATTTATTTATTTTATTTTTGTTACAGATGTTTCTCCTTTTTTACCCCATTGACACCCTCTTCCCCACCTCTTCCCCACCCCCCCAGCCCCAGCTTTGTTGTCCATGTCCATTGGTTATGCATACATGCATATAAGTTCTGTGGTTTATCTCTTTCCTCCCCCCACCACCACTTCTTCTGAGGGTTGTCAGTCTGTACCCTACTTCCATGTCTCTGGGTCTACCCTATTCCTCAGACTGTTATGATCATTATATTCCACAAATAAGTGAGATCATGTGGTATTTGTCTTTCTCTGCTTGGCTTGTTTCACTGAGGATAATATTTTCCAGGTCCCTCCATGTCGTCTCAAAGGATAAGAGATCTTTCTTTCTTACAGCTGCATAGTACTCCATTTTGTATATGTACCACAACTTTTTTATTTATTTATTTATTTTTAATCCTCACCCGAGGACACTTTTCTATTTTTTGTTCAGATAGAGTGGAAGGGAGAGAGAGAGAGAAACATCGACGTGAAAGGGACACATCGAGTGGTTGCCACCCGCAAGACCCAACCAGGGCGAGGGACAAACTGCAATGAGGTATATGCCCTTAGCGGGAACCGAACTCGGGTCTCTCTGGACCACAGGCCAGCGCTCTAACCGCTGAGCCAAACTGGCCAGGGCTGTACCACAACTTTTTTATCCATTCGTCTACTGATTGACACTTGGGCTGTTTCCAGATCTTAGCTATTGTAAATAGTGCTGCTATGAACATGGGGGTACATATATTCTTTTTGATTGGTGTTTCAGGCTGCTTAGGGTATATTCCTAGAAGTGGGATCACTGGGTCAAATGGCAATTCAATTTTTAATTTTTTGAGGTAATACCATAGTGTTTTCCATAGTGGCTGCGCCAGTCTGCATTCCCACCAGCAGTGTACTAGAGTCAGGGCAGTTATTTTTTTATATATATTGAGATACTGTTATTTTTATAAAGAGAAATTGAGTCTTGGAGACATTAAGCCTTCCCAAGGGCACACAGTTGGTAGGTGGATCTTGTCTCTGTTTCCAAGGCCCATAGGGATACAAAAATGAAGGGGCTGAGATGGCCTGGGGCATCACATAATGAAATTTGGCATTAGACCTTTCTTTGAAACTCTGTCATTAACTACCTGTTGACCATGGACAAGTTAGCTAATGTCTCTATACTGAGGTTTCCTCATTTGAAAAATGGGGGATAAATATAAAACATTTACTGAGCTTTTACCAAGAACCAAGCCCTTTTACATGAATTACCTTTTTTACTGCCTTAATAATCCAACGGGTAGGTATTTTTATTTATTCCCATTTTACAGGTGTGGAAATTAAGGCTCAGGAATAGAAAATTATTTCTTTAGGTTATTTAGTTAGTTGTAAGTGGTAGAGTTGGGATTTGAACCCAGGCTACCTTACCTTGAATAATGAACCTACTTACTGTATGATAGTTATTGTGTTAGAATTTTATATGTTACTTCTTTTAATCCTCATTAAGCCCTTCCAAGGCCCACCCCATTCTATAGACAAAGAAACCGGGGCAATTAGATGTCAAGTCACTTGATCAAGGTCACAAGCTAATAATTGAGAATTTAATTTCTACTTACTTGCTGCTGACTTTCGGGATTGCCATGAGGATCACATGAAAACTACATGTGCTTTGTAAACCATAAAGTAAGAAATGGTAAAATTAGCTTTATTTGTCAGGTGAAGGAACAGAGGCCCAGTTTTGAAATAGGCCATCTGCTTATGGGTAAGTTTTACTTATGTATAAGATTCTAGGGGTAGTCTTTCCACCTTTTTGTCTTACTGTTTCTGTGCTGGCTGATACATACCAGCCTCTTGCCTTATATGAGGCCTGTGGCTCCCAACAACCAGCTGTTACAACCAGCAAAAAGGAGAGTCAGAGCTGCCAAGAACTTTCCTAGTTGGTACACAATAGGGAGGTAATACGGCATCCTCATTAAAAACCAGATTTTGGGAGGTGAAGAGATTGAGGCTTGAATTTTGCTGTTAGTTGTGAACTACAGTATGGTATTCTCCAACATAAATTAGAGAAATACTCTCCTCATAAAATTTTTTTTTCCAGCTCATTTAATCCTTACAAAAATATAGAGGTTCTTTTCTAGTTTTATCTTCATGTGTTTTCTAATGATACTCAATCTTTTTATTTATTTATTTTTTTATTTTTTATCCTCACCTGAGGACATTCTTTGCATTTATCTTCAGATAGAGTGGGAGGGAGAGAGGGAGGGAGAGAGAGAGAAACATCAATGTGAGAGAGACATATTGAGTGGTTGCCACCCACACGACTCCAACCGGGGCCGGGGACAAACTGCAACCGAGGTACATGCCCTTAGCGGGAACTGAACCCGGGTCTCTCTGGTCTGTGGGTCAACACTAACCGCTGAGCCAAACAGGCCAGGGCTCAATCTTTTTTATTTTTTATTTATTTATTTATTTATTTTTTTATCCTCACCCGAGGACATTTTTCCATTTTTTGTTCAGGTAGAGTGGGAGGGAGAGAGAGGAACAGAGAGAGAGAGAGAAACATCGATGTGAAAGGAACACATCGAGTGGCTGCCACCCACACAACCGACCAGGGCCGGGGACAAACTGCAACTGAGGTACGCGCCCTTAGCGGGAACCGAACCCGGGTCTCTCAGGACCGCAGGCCGACACTCTAACTGCTGAGCCAAACCGGCCAGGGCTCTTTTTTATTTTTTTATTTAAAAATATTTATTTTCTTTATTGATATAAGAGAGAGAGAGAAACATCCATGAGAGAGAACATCGATCAGCCGCTTCCTGCATGTCTCCCACGGGGGGTCGGGCCCACAACCTGGGCATGTGCCCTTACCAGGAATTGAATCATTGACCTCTTGGTGCATGGGTTGACTCCCAACCACTGAGCCACACCGGCTGGGCTCAATCTTTTTTTTTTTTTTTTTTTTTTTATCCTCACCCGAGGATATTTTTCCATTTTTTTGTACAGATAGAGTATGGGAGGGAGAGAGAGGAAGGGAGAGAGAGAGAGAAACATCGACGTGAAGGGACACATCGAGTGGCTGCCACCCGCACGACCAACCAGGGCCGGGGACAAACTGCAACCGAAGTACGTGCCCTTAGCGGGAACCGAACCCGGGTCTCTCCGGACCGCAGGCCGACGCTCTAACCGCTGAGCCAAACCGGCCAGGGCTCAATCTTTTTTTTAATGATTCAGATTTAATTATCAAGAGCATACTAAACAGCCCTGGCTGGTGTGGCTCAGCAGTTAGAGTGTTGGCCCTTGGACCAGAGTCGTGGGTTCAATTCCTGGTCAAGAGCATGTACCTTGGTTGAGGGTTCAATCCCTGGCCTCATTCAGGGTCGTTCAGGAGGTAACCAATTGATGTATCTCTTTCACATTGATGTTTCTCTCTCTCTCCCTCCCTCCCTCCCTTCTTTCTTCCCATTCTATCTAAAATATCAATGGAAAAATATGTTCAGGTGAGGATTAAAAAAAAAAATACTAAACAGAATACTTACAATAGAGAAGGATTGCATGTAGTGCATTTTGCAAACTAAGCTGAGACAAAAAGAGACTGGGGGCTGCCTCTCAACTGCATCCCTTCCAAACAAAGATGTCCACAGTGCCATTCTTGTTTTTTTTCTTTATTGATTCGAGAGAGAGAGAGAGAGAGAGAAACATTGATGAGTGAGAGAAACATCGATTGGCTGCCTCCTACATGCCCCCCACTGGGGATTTGGCCCACAACCTGGGCCTGGGCCCTGACTGGGAATTGAACCAGCGACCTGTTGGTGCATGGGTCGACGCTCAACCACTGAGCCACACTGGCCAGGCCTATTTTTTTTTTTAATGCAAACATTACAGCATTACAGAACTGTAATTTAGAAAATAAACCTGCATAATCCCCCATTAAGAGAAGGCCATCATTAAACAGTTTGGTGTGTGTGTGTGTGTATCTGTGTAAACCCCAGGTAAGAAATAGAGGCACGGAAAAGTCAGTTCATTGAGTGGTTTTAGGTGGGGGCAAACATCATCTCTTAATCCTTAGAGCAACCCTGTCAGGTGCTGGTCTACTATACCTTGGCAGTTCAAAGTATATTCCACCAACAGCAGCAGCAGCAGCAGCATCACCTGGGAGTTTGCTAAAAATGCAGAATCTCAGGCATCACGCCAAGTACTGAAGCTAGATCTGTATTTTAACTAGATCTTCTAGGTTATTTGTGTGCACATTACAGTCTATACCCATTGGACCTACTTGAAGAGCAGGGAAGGAACTGAGGCCAGCTTGGGGCCACCCACAGAACAGCCAGGGTGGAAAAAGAGCTTCTTGAATGAGCTGTGGCCACTGACCCTCCCAGTGGTATCCCCCAGGGCCCCAGCCTCCAAGCTTTCTTCCCTATCCTTGGTTATGGAGGTCTTTAGTCTTCTAAGATGCTGCAGTTTTAATTTACTTTTAGGCTTTGCTTATTCCTCCTACGAAGAGCAAAAAAGACAATAGAGGTTATGATATAAGATAAAGTATTGGTCACATGGCCCGCGTATAAAATACCAAGGTGCTCACAAGAACTGCTGTATCTCTGTGAGCTTCTTTGATAAAATGGGACTAACAGAACCTATCTTTCAGGAACACCGTGTGTGCCTGGCATGCAGTCAGTGCTTAATAAATGTTAATGTTAGCTAAGTACACGATATGATTTATAGTCCCAGACCTATATATAATTTTTCTCCTCTAATGCCCCCAACATACTCTGCCTGAGACCATGTATTTGATTCATTTTTTTCTTCCATCTTGCCCTTCTCTGCTCACCCTCACTAACAGAACACACACAGAGTGCCTCACCAGTTCTCCAAGAGGTCCCATGCTTTCACACCTCTATGCTTTTTGCATATGCCATTCCTTCTGCCTGGAATGCTTGGCTGAAGGATGAAGCTCCTATTCATCCTTCAAAGCTCAGCTATGCCAAATACCTCCTCCTCTAACACTCCTCCCCTTACCTCTCAGCAAAGCTGGTCTCTACTTCCTCTGTGCTGCACCATCCTTCATGCTAAATCTTATCTTTTCTCCTCCAGGAGCTGGTCGCTGTCGGCTAAGCAAGGTAGGGGCTGTCCGGCGCCCACCTCCAGCTCGAGTAAGGGTGGCTGTACGACTGAGGCCATTTGTAGATGGAACATCTGGAGCAAATGATACTCCCTGTGTACGGGGCCTCGACAGCTATTCTCTAGAGATTGCTAACTGGAGGAACCACCAGGAGACTCTCAAATACCAGTAAGATTCAGCCCTTCTTTCTTCCCATCCCTCTCTCTCCTAGCCCTGCTCACATTGTCACTTGCCCACATAGTTTCTCATGCCTGCTTCCTCAGGATCCTTGCTCTTTCAAAGCTAAGCTCAGCTTTGTTCCCCATACCTTCATTTGTTAATTCAGGAAATGTTCACAGGTTCCCATTGTGATGGGTCCTGTGTAGGATACTGTACTGTGGGGAAAACTGGAGGCTGAATCAGACATATATTACTATTCACAGTTTTGTGGGGGAAATAAACACAGAGTGGGGAAGGAGCAACAAAGGTGAGCAGGGAAGTCCCACCTAGGATTTGGAGGATGTGTGGGAAGGGTTGGGGGACCATAAACCAGCCAACCAACCCAGGCTGCAACTCTGTGATGTTAGAGAAGACTACCCAGATTTGGGGGACAGAACTCACAAGGGCAGTTACTTTAAAATTCTGTTGGAGATTTAAAGTTCAGACTCTTTACCTTATCATCCTAGGCCAGGAGGTGGCAAACTACAACCTGCAGGAGTTTGACCAGGAGATTTTATAATAAAACTTAATTGGAACATAACCATGTTCATTTATTTACATATTTTCTAAGGCTGCTTCCCAGTGGCAGGATTGAGTAGTTGTGAAAGGAACCATATGGCCCACAAAGCCCATAATATTTACTATCTGGCTTTTTTTTTCAATGTGTGTGTGTGTGTGTGTATTTAATCCTCACCTGAAGATATGTTTTTCTATTGATTTTAGAGAGAGAGGAAGGGATAGGAAGAGAGAGAGAAACATTGATCGGTTGCCTCCTGACACTTTTTTTTTTTTTTGGTACATGCCCCTAGTGGGAACCGAACCCGGGACTCCCTGGTCCTCAGGCCGACACTCCAACCGCTAAGCCAAACAGGCCAGGGCGATTGGTTGCCTCCTGTACGCACACCAACTGGAGACTGAATTTGCAACCTGGGTATGTGCCCTGACCGAGAATCGAACCTGCACAGCCTTTTGGTGTATGGGACGATGCTCCAACCAACTGAGCCTAGACTGGCCAGGGCCATATATATTTTATAAAAATATATATATATATATTTTTTTAATTCTCACCCGAAGATATGTTATTATTGATTTTAGAGAGAGAGGAAGGGAGAGCGAGAGAGAGAGAGAAACATTGATATAAGAGCAAAACATCGATTCGTTGCCTCCCTTATGTGCCCCAAATGGGGACTGAACCTGCAACCTAAGTATGTGCCCTGACCGGGATTAAACCCGCGACCTTTCTGTGTATGGGATGACTTTCCAACCAACTGAGCCACACTGGCCAGGGCTACTGTCTGGCTTTTTACAGAAAATTTTACCAATCTTGTTCCAGGCCCTTGACAATTTGGCTTTAATTTCTTTCCAGCCTCATCTGTCAAATACACATTATAGTCCACTTACATTAATCCCTGCTGTGGCCTCAGCCATAGCTTCTCCATCAGAGTGCAGTGAATAAACTATAGGTGTGTTGAGTCTCATCTAGTCATAAGCAGCATCCTCTAATTACTCCATTAGAGTGTACAAATACTACTTTCTGTATATACTGTGATGTAAGAAAGATTGGGAAGCCCTGCCCTTTCATACCATATTTTGTCTGTGTGCTATTTTTGATACTTAGAATGTCTTTCTCTTCTCTGGCAAAATCTTCCCTCCTCAAGCAGAATCAGTTACTTCTAGTGCATTCGTTGTTTACTGAATCACAGAAAAGTATGGGTTTCTATCCGTCTTAACATACTGCAGAACTCCCGAGAGCAGGGACATCAGATTCATCTCTGTATTCCTAACACCAGTATAGGGACTGGGAAAGAATAGGTGTTCAGTTGGTCTTTCAGGGGTCTTCATGTAAGATAAGGGATAGACTCTTTTAAATCTGAGGCCAGTATTTTCCTCTAGGTCTGGGTGAGATTGAAACCCTCCATTAATTTCCTCTTTTCTTCCTGCCTGCAGGTTTGATGCCTTCTATGGGGAGAGGAGTTCTCAGCAGGACATCTATGCCGGATCAGTGCAGCCCATCTTAAGGCACTTGCTGGAAGGGCAGAATGCTAGTGTGCTTGCTTATGGGCCCACAGGGGCAGGTAAGGGAGCCAGATAAGGATAGCTATGGGATAGAAAGGGCTACGGAGTGGGGAGGAAAATCTCACAACTCTCTCCATTCTTTTTCCAGGGAAGACACACACAATGCTGGGCAGCCCAGAGCAACCCGGAGTGATTCCCCGGGCTCTCATGGACCTCCTACAGCTCACAAGGGAGGAGGGCGCTGAGGGCCGGCCATGGTCCCTCTCTGTCACTATGTCCTACTTAGAGATCTACCAGGAAAAGGTGAGGCCCGCTCTGGTTGGGGAGGAGAGAGAGACAAAGGATCAAAGTAAGACCTAGTTCCAAAACCTGGAGCTCTGTTGTAGCAAGGACCCAAGACCTGGAAAAACAGAGGCTGGGGTGGCAGATAGTACAACTTTGAGAATCCAGCAGATAAAAGGAGACTGATCCCCAGGAAGTAAGCAGCCTAGAAAATTGGCCCTCTCACTGTTGCCAACAGGTATTAGATCTTTTGAACCCTGCATCCGGAGACCTGGTGATCCGAGAAGATTGTCGAGGAAACATACTGATTCCAGGCCTCACACAGAAGCCCATCACTAGCTTTGCTGATTTTGAGCAGCACTTCCTGCCAGCCAGTCGAAATCGGACTGTAGGAGCCACCCGGCTCAACCAGCGCTCCTCCCGAAGTCATGCTGTGCTCCTGGTTAAGGTGAGGCCCGCTGATGGGTGGACCTGGGAAGTCCCTTGAGCCTGAGCTAAGCTTGGGGCCCTTGTTCTTTACCCTAGGTGGATCAACGGGAGCGCTTGGCCCCATTTCGCCAGCGGGAGGGGAAACTCTACCTGATTGATTTGGCTGGCTCAGAGGACAATCGGCGCACAGGCAACAAGGGCCTGAGGCTGAAGGAGAGCGGAGCCATCAACTCCTCTCTCTTCGTACTGGGCAAGGTGGTGGATGCACTGAACCAGGGCCTTCCTCGTGTGCCTTACCGGGACAGCAAGCTCACTCGCCTATTGCAGGTCAGACCACCCATACTAGGGTAAAAGGGGCTGGAGGAGGAGGTTCTTGGGCTTCCTCAGGGGTTAGGAAACAGGAGTCAAGGAATGGAAACATGGGACCTTCTGACCAGCCCATCCTGCCCAATCCCCATCCTTCAGGACTCTCTGGGTGGCTCGGCCCACAGTATCCTCATTGCCAACATTGCCCCCGAGAGATGCTTCTATCTAGACACAGTCTCTGCACTCAACTTTGCTGCCAGGTCCAAGGAGGTGATCAATCGACCTTTTACCAATGAGAGCCTACAGCTTCATGGTAAGGACTGGGGTTGGCAGGAATGAAAAGGCCGTTCTGGACAATTAGGGGTTTGCTGAATTCATCAAGCAGTAGCACAGAGGCTGACGTAACCCCCACCCCATTCTTTCTTTAGTCTTGGCACCTGTTAAACTGTCTCAGAAAGAACTGGTAGGCCCTTCAGAGGCAAAGAGAGCCCGAGGCCCCGAAGAAGAGGAGATTGGGAATCATGAGCCCCCGGCACCTCCAGCCTCTGCTTCTCAGAAATTCAGGTGAGCAGATGGAGAGAGACCTTGGGCATACTCCCTTTCCTGTGTCTGGATTGGGTGCAGAGCAGCAGTGGGTTTAGCCTGTCAGATCCTTGAGCCGTGAATCTGTTCCTCTCCTGGTACTGCTGCCTGGAGCCCTCCAGAGGCTTCCTACTTGAACATTTAGCCCCCTTCCTCTCTATTTTCCAAACTCTTTAGGCAAAAACCTTATATTTTGGGGCAGCTGTTTCAAGGACAAGTACTTTTGCTTCTGGCTCAAGGAATAATCAGATCAGGTCTTTCAGGTCCAGAGGATAAGAGCAAAACAAAGGAGACAAGGAAGAGATAAAGAGATACGTCTTGCTGAGACCTCTAAGTCTGTGTGTTAGAGTCCAATCTCTTCTTGATTCTCCAAGGAGCGGGTTGTTATAACATTGTCCTGCTTCTACCCTCAATCCAAACAAAGCCTCTCTAAACTGAGTCCCTTCTGTGTGTGACCAATCCCCCCACCCCCTTTCTGATAGCCTCCTAACCCAGTATGCACTAATCCTCAGGTCACCTCTGTTTAGTGGCCTTGCTTTCTGTGTCTCACTACCTCCCCTCCCTAACTCTAAGGAGCCAAATGCAGTTTTAATTTTTCCTTGTTTCTACTGAGCCCAAATAAAGCCTCTCTAAACTGTATACTGAATAGAGGTGAAGTGAGGAGGCTAAGGATTAGTGCCCCAGGGGGCTGTTGTACCTGAGGAAGGATGACATACATAAAAATGTGCTTGTTCACTCAGAAACTTATCTTTCAATCTTGTCTTCTCCAGCCATTCGCCACCTTTCCTACATGCACAAACTCATACATACTTGCACATCCGTATCACATGTGAACAGGCAAGGTCTCTGCCAAGTAGGTATTCTGAGGGTGAGCTCAGAGATGGGGCAGATCAGACCTAGTCAGACCCTGACGTCAGAGGGCTCACATTTTAGTAGGGGAAATAAGACAGAAACATCAGTATATGATGCAAGGTAGGTAGTACAGAGGATACTAAGGAAGGAGAAGCTGCTTGTTCTGTAAAAGCCTGGTAGGAAATAATAACTTCTAACGTTCACCCATATTTTCTGATCTTGTTCTTCCTAGGCACTTGCGCACAAAGAACAAGGCAGTCTCTATCCCTGAGGAGCTAGTTCAGAGTGTAGGAATAAAGATGCACAATCAAGTTGGGCATCATGGGAAAGGTGGCATTAAATTCACTTTGATTACTGAGATCAGATGTTAGGGGAAAAAATTCCAGACAGAGGAACAGATGCTAGGCATTATGCTCAGGACTCTACTTGATAGGTCTTTCCTACTGCCCACAGGAGAAAGCCTTGGCATTTGAGGTCTTCAGTGGCTTTCAAAGCCCTGTTGAAGATGACCTCCTCTGGGAAGCTTCCCTGACTGCTCCTCCAAATGGACAGGCACACGGGCCCTGAATTCGTGGAACTCTCATGTTCATTAAATGCTCGCTCTCATCTGGTATCCCTGAGAGGTTACTCGGGCAGGTAGTGATCCATCTCTACACAACATCCACTGAGTCTGGATGATTTGCTCAGAATTGTCCAAGTTAACACCAAGGTTCTGGAACCACATAATATACCAAGTTAAGGCATGATGAGGGGAATAGAGGGTGATGAGAGAAGAGGTATATAGAGAGTAACCTCTGTCTGCTCAGCCCCCTACAGAAGCTAAGTAGCATGGACCCGGCCATGCTGGAGCGCCTCCTAAGTTTGGACCGTCTGCTGGGCTCCCGGGGGACCCAGGGGACCCCTCTGCTGAGCACCCCAAAGCGAGAGCGAATGGTGCTCATGAAGACAGTGGAGGAGAAGGATTTGGAGATTGAAGTAAGTGTTGGAGAGGTGGGGGCTGGGATCCCTGTTGGCCTTGCGAAACAATCTGAGGTTCTTCAGATAAGAACACTGAAAGGCCGGACTGCCATCCAGTTTTCACCCACCACTGGAATCCTTCAGTTTTTCAGCTTCTGCTTGAATGTCCTTAACATTGGCTGAACTTTGAAAAATACTTGAGATCAGATGTGAGGAGGTGAGAGGGGGGAAAAAATTCCAGGTAAAAGGAACAAATGTAAGACATTGCCATTTCTTAAAACCTAGCTCTCAAATTCAGTTAGGACTCACTGATTGAATAGTCCCTTCAGTGTTTCCAAAAAAAGGCTTGTTCCACCTCTGATCATTAGAAAGACCTTAATTATATTGGGTTCCAATTATTTCCTAGTAGCTTCTCCCATTGGTCCTCACCCTTCCTTCTAGTGCCTTGGAGTCCTGCACACTCACTTTCTTAATCCACTGTCTTTTAAACTGCCCTAAAGTTGGTTCTGGGTCACCTCTCTCCCTGATCCTTTCCAACAGAGGCTTAAGATGAAGCAAAAAGAACTGGAAGCCAAAGTGCGGGCCCAGGAAACTCTGGACCCAAAAGAGAAAGAGAATTGCTCTCCCACAATGCTCCGACCCCTTGCCCGCCGCACAGTTACAGTGGCTAAACCCCTCAAAAAGGCTGTGGTGATTCCCCTACAACTGAGTAAGTTTGGCTTGGGGGGCCAGCCAGAAGGGCACAGATAACAGATCTCAGGAGGGAAGAGGTGTTAAGAGCAGTAGTCCTCATGTCACTCATGTCCTGCCACCATATGGCAACCTGGGGATGGGCGAGGAGGATCTGAAATAGAGCTGATGCTCTGCTCTCCGGTGGTTATGAGTACAATGGGATAGGCTGACAAGTGCATGATTGATTATCATGCAAGACCAACTGAGATTACTTTCAAATACTGGTAACTGAAAGGTCATGTGGACACACAACAAAAGAAGTTAACTTGGCGTGGAGGAGAACTGGGGAATCAGAAATGGGAGAACCAAGTGGCTACCAGGGAGGGTGAAAAGTAGCTTCTGTAATGACTCCAGTTCTTTCTTTCAGTTCAGGAGCAGGCAGCATCCCCAAATGCCAACATCCATATCTTGAAGAAGAAAAGCCGCAAGAGAAAGGTGAGAATAACTAGAGGTTTAGGCTATACCTAGAGCCTAGAAATAAGGATTAGTAAGCCGTAGTGGGAAAGCAATGGCCATGGAGTCACACGACCTGTCAGAACATGTATCAGCTATTTATAACTCTTCTAAGTTGCTTATGGTCTGAATACAAATATAACTCATTTCATTTAGGATGAAATGCAGTGTTATGCATGTACCTAGCAGAGTGATTGTCTATTATTTGTTACTTTCCTTTCTTCCTGATAGCTCTCATGCTCAGTAAGTACGTACTAGTTGTGTTGCCTGGGTCCTGCCCTCTACAAACTTAGGAGCCCAAGTAGGAAAACATGACCTAATACTAGAAAACAGGACCTAAACCCTGGAACAATGAAACAACAGTGGAAGAACTACCTCAAAACTAAGATGGCATGGTTGGGGCAGGTGCCACTTATTGAGTCCCTTCTCCTATGTGCTTTCCAGGGTAAAAGAGAGCTTATTCTTTTTTAGAAATGAAGGACCAGATTTAATAGCTTATTCTTTGCTTTATGTTTATTAACTCATTTGACCTTCACGGCAACTCTATTACCATTCTTTTACAAGTTGGATAAAATGAGAATCAGACCAGAAGGAAAGGTTTTTGGACAGACACTTGACAGGAGAGAAAGAGAGGCTGGAGAGGGCCGGTAAGGTAGCTGCTGTTAGTCTCCTATCCTTGGCGGAGAAGTCCAAAGCCCGCAGTGGGCTAAAGAGCAAACTATGCTGTTTTGTCATTCACCTCCCCCTGCCTCATAGTTGGAGTGCCTGGATGCCACAAAGCCGAAGGAAGAGGCTGAGGACTGCTGGGAGCTACAGATCAGTCCAGAGCTACTGGCCCATGGGCGCCAGAAAATACTAGATATACTGAATGAAGGCTCAGCCCGCGATCTGCGCAGCCTGCAGCGCATTGGCCAAAAGAAGGCCCAGCTTATTGTGGGCTGGAGGGAGCTCCACGGCCCCTTCAGCCAGGTAATGGCCAAGGCGGGGCAGCCGTGGAATGGAGTTGGGGTATTTAGGGGGAAGAGTTTGGTACCCTTTAGACCCCTTGTCCATCGCTATTGTCCTGCAGGTGGAGGACTTGGAACATGTGAAGGTCATGTCAGGGAAACAGCTGGAGTCTTTCCTGAAGGTGAGCTCATGGCCTAGCTCCTCCTCTCCCTGGCCTGTGGCCTGTGGCCTGTTCCCTGCCCCCCGGCTCTAACGCAGCCCTCCCCTTCCCTCCTGTTGCAGGCGAACATCTTGGGTCTCGCCGCGGGCCAGCACTGCAGCCCCTCCTGACTGCCAGCTCTTCTTTTCACTTGGCCATTTTTTCCCTTCTTTCAGTCCCTGTATAACCGCTTCTTGTATAAAGACAGTTTTAAGTCCGTTGCTTCAGCCTGATTCTTTGGACTGTGGGGGCGGGGCTGGGGTATAATTGCCCTTGGGACCGGACACAAGCTCCACTGTAACTTCTTTGGGCGCCATCTTTGGGAAAACATGAAGCAGCGCAGGGTTGAGAGTAGACTATTGGAACGGGAAAGGACGGTGGCCGGTAGGAAACAAAAGGCTTACACGAAAGCCTGAGGACAACGACCGTTAGGCGGGCACGCGCTTTAAGTTTAGCTCCACCCCATCCGTGGCCCTGGAGCGCGCTCCCCTTTTCTCCCGCTCATAGACAGCGGTTTTGTGCGCGTGCGCGCGAAATAACGGCCACTGGTGGAGGGGGGTAAAATCTTTTAAGTGGGGGGAAGAGAAGCCACCGTCTCCCGCGCGCCCACCACCTGCGCCATCGTCAGCCAATCAGCGGCCCTCTCAGGGGTCTCGCGCTTGGGACGACTCCGGCTGCTGGGCGGCTCCTCCAGTCCCTCCTCCCGCCAGAGTCCCTCTCCTACCTCCCCCCTCCCGCTGGCCTCGCGCGCGCTCGTGCTCGCGCCTGCTCCAGCCTCTTGTGTGTCCTCGCGCCCCCCGCCCGCCCTCCCCGCGCGCAGTGTGCTCTGCTCCCCCCACCCTCCTCCTCCTTTCCCCCTCCCGCCAGCCCTGCGCGCCTCCTCCCTGGATTCCCCCTCCCCCACTGCCACCTCCTCCTCCTCCTCCTCCTCCCGCCCCAGGGTGAGCTCGAGCCACCTCCCTCCCTCCCTCCGCCATGGATCCCGGCAACTGGAGCAGCTTCATCTTCCAGGTAACAACCCCCTCCCCCCCGCCTCCCACCCCCTTTTCCCACACCCCCTCCCTCCCGCCCTCCCTCCTGTCCCACCCCCCCTCCGCGCGCCCGGTGCGCGCGCAGCTGTCCCCCTCCCTCCCTCGCGCCCTCCCCCGCCCTCCCCGAGGCGCCGGCTGGGCGCGCGCGCGGCGGGGGCCGAGGCTGCTCCCTCGCTCCCCCCACCCCGCCCCGCCAGGCTCCAACCGCCGCCGCTGCCGCCGCCTGGGCCCCCGCCCCCGGTCCCTGGCCCCGCGGGGCCTCCCGCCCCCACTGTCGCTGCCGCGCTCCGCGGCCCGCCAGGCGCCCTCCTTCCCTCCCTCCCGCCGGCCGGGGTGCGCGGGCAGCGGGGCGGCCCTCGGGCCATGCGTTCGGTGCGGCCCAGCCCGGCCGGCCGGGGGCAGCGCCCCGAGCCCGGGCCCCGCTCGGCCCGCGCCCCCGGCCCCCGCTGAGCCCCAGGGACCCCGCCGTGGCCGAGGCCATGTTCCCCGTGTTCCCTTGCACGCTGCTGGCCCCCCCCTTCCCCGTGCTGGGCCTGGACTCCCGGGGGGTGGGCGGCCTCATGAACTCCTTCCCGCCACCTCAGGGTCACGCCCAGAACCCCCTGCAGGTTGGGGCTGAGCTCCAGTCCCGCTTCTTTGCCTCCCAGGGCTGCGCCCAGAGTCCATTCCAGGTGAGTAGGGGCCGGCCAAGGCGGGCCGGGCTGGGAGGGCGCCTACCCGCGGCCGCGGCCCACATGGTGTCTTGTCTCCGCAGGCCGCGCCAGCGCCCCCACCCACGCCCCAGGCCCCGGCGGCCGAGCCCCTCCAGGTGGACTTGCTCCCGGTTCTCGCCGCCGCCCAGGAGTCTGCTGCTGCCGCCGCTGCGGCCGCAGCCGCCGCCGCCGCCGCCGCCGTTGCTGCGGCGCCCCCAGCCCCGGCCGCAGCTTCCACAGTGGACACAGCGGCTCTGAAGCAGCCGCCCGCACCCCCTCCACCGCCCCCGCCGGTGTCGGCGCCCGCTGCCGAGGCCGCGCCCCCTGTTTCTGCTGCAGCCACTGCCGTCGTAGCCCCAACCTCGACGGTCGCCGTGGCCCCGGTGGCATCCGCCTTGGAGAAGAAAACAAAGAGCAAGGGGCCCTACATCTGTGCCCTGTGCGCCAAGGAGTTCAAGAACGGCTACAATCTCCGGAGGCACGAGGCCATCCACACAGGAGCCAAAGCCGGCCGGGTCCCTTCGGGTGCTATGAAGATGCCCACCATGGTGCCCCTGAGCCTCCTAAGCGTGCCCCAACTGAGCGGAGCCGGCGGAGGAGGGGGAGAAGCGGCTGCCGGCGGTGGAGCGGCCGCAGTGGCAGCCGGTGGCGTAGTGACCACGACCGCCTCTGGAAAGCGCATCCGGAAGAACCACGCCTGTGAGATGTGCGGCAAGGCCTTCCGCGACGTCTACCATCTGAACCGACACAAGCTGTCGCACTCTGACGAGAAGCCCTACCAGTGCCCTGTGTGCCAACAGCGCTTCAAGCGCAAGGACCGCATGAGCTACCACGTGCGCTCACATGACGGCGCTGTGCACAAGCCCTACAACTGCTCCCACTGTGGCAAGAGCTTCTCCCGGTGTGCACGGGGCCCTGTGTGCACGGGGCCCAGGGCCTTGGCCGCTCACTAGGTGGTGGGGAGGGAGGGACTGCGGGGAGGTGGCTTGGCTTTGGCTGGTGAGGAGGGAGGAAGTTTCTGAGGATGGGGACTGGGAGCCACTCCCAGGGAGGAGGGAGAAAAACCTCTCCGGGTTACCAGGGAGCAGGGGGTGGTACTTAGCAAAGGAGGTGGGTCCTTGGATTGTTGGAAAGCTTGGCGTGGACAAGGCCGCCCTGCTCCAGGGGAGGGGTTTCCTGCCTAACTAGGACTCAAGCCCTAAGCTTGGGAGAAAATACAGGGACCTTTGAAAAGCTTTTTGTATTAGGTTAGGCAGATTTGGGGGCATTTCTACCCCCCAGGGCCCTAACCCCAACCCCAACATATCCCCAGGCCGGATCACCTCAACAGTCACGTCAGACAAGTGCACTCAACAGAGCGGCCCTTCAAATGTGAGGTAGGAAGCCCACCTCTTCCTGTCTTGGTTTTCATGATTTTGATCCTCATTATAGTTGTCTGAGTTCAGCCTCTCAGACCCCCTTTTTCTCTCTTTTTGCTTTTTCACTCCATTTTCTCATCCCTTCTTCAAGGCCTCATCGTCTCACTCCCATTTCCTACAGATCAAAGATCCCCAAGACTCTGATTCCTTTAACCTCTTGCCCCCCTCTCCCCACTCCCTGAAGCTTTAACTCTCCTGACACCCCCCACACCCCTCCCCCTTCCCCAGAAATGTGAGGCAGCTTTTGCTACGAAGGATCGACTGCGGGCGCACACAGTACGACATGAGGAGAAGGTGCCATGTCATGTATGTGGCAAGATGCTGAGCTCGGCTTATATTTCGGACCACATGAAGGTGCACAGCCAGGGCCCTCACCATGTCTGTGAGCTGTGCAACAAAGGTACATGCTGAGGGATGCTGGGGGGGGGGGGGGGCAGGGCCTAAGGGTGGGGACAAATCTAGATACCCTTCCACAGTTGTGAGTTAAAGGTGCTGTAGCTGAGAGCTCGTGGCATCTAGAGCCCTCTGGGAAGCAAATGAAGTGACATTGGGACCACTGAACATCATTAAGTTCTAAGAGGTCATGGCTGGAAGAGATGATCTACCAGAAAGAGTCAACTTCTGGGTGTGCGTGGGGAGAATGGGAATAGGACATGGCTACTTTGGGGAAGGAGTGGTCAAGAGCTCCAGTGTCCAAGGGTTGAGAGACAAGGTTTGAGCCGCGCAGCCACAAGTTCTCATCTTCAGCTCCTGGGACAAGTGGGGAGTACATTGGCACAAGTTTAACAAGCATGTACTCTGCTCCAGTAGCAGAGAAAGCTGCTTTTAAATAGATTAGCATATTTGCTGAATAACTGGGCTAAGACTATATGGGGCACTGGAGGGAGGGGACACAGCCGTCTCTACTGAGGGTCAACTTTTCAAGTGGCTAGGTATCAGTGGCCTGTCACCCCAGGAGAGATCCCCCAGCCACGGAGAATGGGTTCTGGGTACCATTGCCAAGGAACGGATACCACTCAACCAGGTCCCAAGCTCACGGTGGGGCTGTGCCCTACCAGCCCCAGCAGAGTAGTTGGCCCCAGGTTACCAAGGATGTGGGAGGAGAACAGGGCCATCTGAGGAGGACGTCCCCAGCCTAGGAGAATAACCCCGTCTCTGGGGTCTCCACCTGGCTGACCCCATCCCCCATACCAATCCACCCCCCCCAATAGGCTTCACCACAGCAGCATACCTGCGCATCCACGCGGTGAAGGACCATGGGCTCCAGGCCCCGCGGGCTGACCGCATCCTGTGCAAGCTGTGCAGCGTGCACTGCAAGACCCCTGCCCAGCTGGCCGGCCACATGCAGACCCATCTAGGGGCGGCCGCCCCCCCTACCCCGGGAGATGCCCCCCAGCCACAGCCCACCTGCTGAGGGGGACCCCCGCACCCACCAGGCAAGGCGTTGGGCATGGCTGGGGGGGTTGGTGTGTGTGGGACAAGGGGGCTCAAGGGGCCCAATAGGGGATCTCAGGAAGGCCAGGGATGTCCAGTCTATCACTCAAGTTAGGGAGACTTTTGGGGACAGAGAGGGCCCTTCAGGAAAACTGGGTAAGGATGCAGGCCGAAGCCTCTGGGGACCAAACAGGAAGTGAGCAACGGCTGTGTCCCAGGGGAGGGAGTCTGGGAAAGAGTCTGGGGCAAGGGGCAAGGCTCTTGCCATTCAGATGGCGCTGTGATCTGGTGTTTCTTACCATGCAGGTACCGGTGAGGTCTGTCCAGTGGCGGTGGCAGCAGCAGCAGCGGCAGCAGCAGCGGCAGCTGCATCAGTGGCAGCCCCTCCCACAGCTGTGGGCTCCCTCTCTGGGGCTGAGGGGGTGTCTGTGAGCTCTCAGCCACTTCCCTCCCAGCCCTGGTGAACTCCTAGTTGGTGATGGGGAGAGGGGAGAATGGAGGAAAGCCCCTTGGTACCATCTCCTCCCCACCCCACCCCCTTCCCACCAACTCCTCACTGCTTCCCCCACCACCCAAGGAGCCTCCTGAAGGAAAGGAGGAAGAAATGTTTTCTTAGGGGAATTCACTAGGTTTTAACAATTTGTTTCTCCTGCTCCTTTCCCTCCCTATCAAACCTGGCCCCACACACATCTGTCCCCTTGGTTGTGTTGAAGCTCCCTGGACAGTGGGCAGGGGTGGCAGAGGACAGGAGTGGCCACTGCCCTCACCCCCTCTCCTCTCTGTAACCCCCTGCGCCCTGCCCTTCCGGGGATTTGTGAGCCTTCTCCCTTGATGGTCCTTCTTGCTCTCCTTCCAGTCCCCCCCCCCCCTACTGTCTGCTGCCCCTCCCTGGGGAGTTGGTGCTTTTTTTTTTTTCCAGGGGGAGGGAGGAGAGAAAGGAGGGGAATCAAAGATTCTGTCCTAGAGAGGGGAAAAGGTGAGATTTGAGAAGGGGCAGAAGCAGGGAAGGCAAAGGTGTACCTTCTTCATAAGGTGGGGTTGTTTAGGGTCAGGCCCTAAGCATCATCCTACTTAAGAATCTGTCAGGGGAAAACAAGTCAAGGGGAGCAAAAGGAGCCACTTAGGCCAGAGGCAAGATGAGATGAAACCTTAGGAGGCCAGGGTAAATAGGGGGATCCAGGGACTAGAGGTGCTGCCTGGGGGTGGGGGGAAGGCAGCTGTGGTGTCTCCCCCTTTCCTCTTCCACCCCAGCTCCAGCCCTGGCCTTTTCATCCCTCTCCCCTAAGATAGAAGGTGTGGCCCTGGCCATGTCATCGTGTTCCTGTGTCCCCTGCATGTTCTCTACCCTTCACCCCCTCCTCTTGGCGTGGATCCCATTACAATAAATTTTAAATAAAAATCTGGCTCTGACTTGAATGAATTGCTCTCATCAAAGACCCTGTTCCTACCCCCAAGAGGTTTCTTCTTGGGCCTGGTGTCAGTCCCAGCCTTGCTCCTCCTTGTGCAGCTCTGGCTCCTCCCTCCCCAGAGGCAGCCCAGATTCAGGGTGAGGCCAAGTCTCCAGAGGCTGTGGAAAGCAAGTTCCAGGACTCCTAGATCTCTGGGGACTACCCGATCTGGACAGGCCCAGAATAGCCAGCCACTGCAGGTTTGAGGAGCCTGGGTTAGAAACCCAGACAGTTGCTAGAACCCAGCCAAATATCTACACACCCTTTAAGCCCTGTGAGGTAATGGATAATACAGCTGCAGAAGGGCCAGGAAGGATGTCTGAGCCCTAGGATTGGGAGCAGTAAGGTGGAGAATAAAAACTGCACTTGTCCCTTTCATTCTTGGCATGGTCTACCCTGTCCACTCGGGCTTCTCTGCCCAGCCCCTTACTGCTGTTCCAGACTGCTCCTGCGGCCTCTGCTCTGCTCCTTGGAATTCCCTCCCGTCTTGCTCTCCTTTCCAGGGACCCTTTTCTTGAGCCTTCCAGTACCAATTTCTGTTGCTGCTGCTTTGGTAGAGGGACTTTCTTCAGGCTCCCTTCTCTTGAAACCCCACCCTGCAGCCTTCCCAAGTTTTGCCTCATCTCCCTCTTTCCTCTCGTAGGGGTGCGTCCACCCGGTCCCGCCTGTCTCCCTAGACCTCTCTCTTCGCAGACTCTTCTCCGTTTCACCCAACCCCATGCCTCTGCCAGGACCCCGGGTGACGGTTGGCGGGAGGGGCCCCGGACTTGGGAAGGGGATACCCCCCAGGAAGTGCGCGTGGGAAGAAGCAAGGAGCTGGCTCGAGTGGTCCCCCCCACCGGTTGCCAGGGTAACGCTGGCCTGGCACGCGTGGCTCTTAAGGGCGGGCCTGGAGGGGCGGGGGCAGCGCGTGCGGCAGCAGAGCGTAGGGGAGGGGACCTGAAAGGAGGGGACTAGCAGAGCGGTGGGGAGACCCGCCGCCTCCCTCCTTCCCTCCCTCCCAGGCTGCGGCTGCTGCAACAACGGTGGCGGCGGCAGCAGGAGCAGCAGCGGGAGCAGTCTAGAGGCCAGCGTTGAGGTGAGATGGGTATGGACTGAGGCTTGGGGTAGGAGTGGACCGACAGACTGCAGACGCTGGGGAGGGCTGCACTGCACGGGAATACGGGTGCCAGGCCTACTGGCTGGTGGTGCTGGGCGCGCCAAGCCAATGGAAGGAGGAGGCGCCAGGGGCACCCTGGGGACAAGGGAATCCCTGGGAGAGGGGCTTGAGAAGGGGCTCAGAGGAAATGCCCAAGACTCTCAGGAAGGAGCGGGGGCATCTGTGCCCCAAATACGCAGCCAGAAAACCGCACCCACTGACGCCCAGGTAGGAGGGAAGGATGCAGGAGTGGAATGTGAGTATGGGGCCTCTGCTCAGTCTGTCTGTCGGAGTGTATGGGTGTCTGCACAGCTTGATTTTGAGGTGCGGGGCATCTGCTAGGATCTGGGAGGCTGGATCTTGTTGGGGGTACCCAGGAAGAGACCATGGGGAAGGTTCTGTTTACAAAAGGGTTAATCTTCCCAGGGCTGTCCAAGCAGAAGAATTTGAGCAGAGCACTCCTCCCCAGAGATGTCCCACCCCAAGGCAAAGGAAACCCCAACTTTTCTTCCTCTCCCCAGAGGCAGCCCAAGACTGGCCCTAAGACAGGAGCATAACCTTCAGGCTGCAGTGCTGAGAGCTGCCTCTTTCCTCCTCACACCAAGCTTATCTCTTCCTCTTCTAGGATTTGCTGCTCTCTGTTGCTCCAGTCTCCCCACAGAGGCCCTCTCCCCTCTCCCATCACAAGATGGCAGCCAGCAGCTCTGAGGTCTCTGAGATGAAGGGGATAAGGGAGGGTGCCCAGACCCAGGGAAAAGGGCCTGGCCATTCAGAGGCTGGAACTGGCCCTCTAGAGGTTCCAGCTGGGGTCCCAGATGAGCCAGAGGCCCCTCAGGCAGGTCCAGACATCACTGTGGCCCCTGTGGACTCAGAGCCCAAAGTTGGGTTGACTCCAGAAATCACAGAGACCCCAACAGGGGCCCCAGAAACAGACAAGGCCAAAGACCTTAGCTCAAGCCCAGGAGGGGAACCAACCGCCAACTCCAGCCCCAAAGAAGCATGCCAAGAGCCAACATCCAAGCCAGAAGTGAGCAAAGAGGCCACTGTAGAGCAGGGGTGTGACCAGGAATCTGCAGGCCTGTTTGAGCCAGCCTCAGAGCCCACTCCCCAGCTGGACCTCCAGTCAGGTTCCCAGCCCACACCCAAGCCAGCTCTTCAGACAGAGCCTCCTACCCAGGACCCCACCCCTGGGGTCTTGACTGAGAGTGTGGGGGAAAAGCAGGAGAATGGGGCGGTGGTTCCCCTGCAGGCTGGTGATGGGGAAGAGGGTCCAGCCCCACAGCCTCACTCATCGCCCTCAACAAACCCCCCCTCAGCCAATGGGGCTCCCCCTCGAGTGCTGCAGCAGCTTGTTGAGGAGGACCGAGTAGGAAGGGCTCACAGTGGGCATCCAGGATCTCCCCGAGGTAGCCTAAGCCGCCACCCTAGCTCCCAGATAGCAGGGTCTGGGGTAGAGGGGGGTGAAGGCACCCAGAAACCTCGGGACTACATCATCCTAGCCATCCTGTCCTGCTTCTGCCCCATGTGGCCTGTCAACATCGTGGCCTTCGCTTATGCTGTCATGGTGAGCCCCATGGGACCCTGGCCCAAGCCTGTTGTGGCTCCCCACTTCCTGCATTGGAACAGAGCCCCAGGAGTAGCCTGGTTTTATCTCTCTGCATGGATCTCACTTCCAAATTACAGGGCCCTACTTTCCTCTCCTAGGACTTCACCCTCTGAGCCACTATTGCCTAACCCCTTCAGGTGGGAGGGATGTCCAGACATATTTCACACAGCCTTGCTGACCTGTGCCCTCCTCCCCCTACCTCTCCAACTCTTCTTCCTCCGTCACTATGGGCTGGCCTATCTCCTCTGGATGACTCTTTCACCTGATCCCTGCTGGGCTGGCTTCTCCTGACCTGGGCCATTCTGCCCCACTCCTCCCCCTAACAGTCCCGGAACAGTCTGCAGCAAGGTGATGTGGATGGGGCCCAGCGTCTGGGTCGAGTGGCCAAGCTCTTAAGCATCGTGGCGCTGGTAGGGGGGGTCCTCATCATCATCGCCTCCTGTGTCATCAACTTAGGCGGTGAGTAGTGGTCTGGGCTGGGAGGAATGGAAGGATTGGCAAGGGCAGCTTTACTAACCCCTGCCCCTGCTCTCTCCTGTCTGTCTTCCCTATTTCTCCTTTGTCTCTCCTTGTCTCACCCCCCTCCCCCACTGTCTCTGTCTCTGTCTGTCCCTCCCTCTCCTCTTCCACAGTGTATAAGTGAGGGGCTCTGCCCTGCATTCCAAGACTTTTCTTCCTGTTGGGAGCTGTCTTGGGCCCATCCTCCCCTGCTCCCCTGCGGGGAGCCCAATCGATGGCCCAGGCCCGCACCCATAGGGACCAAGGGAGCCTGAGCAGCCTTGTTTACAGCTTTTTTCCTGCTCCTGCATCTTGCCAGGCTCCTCTGCCAACTGTAGGCCCCCCTTCTCCCTGCACTGTTTCCAGTCTCCCTGCACTTCTGCCTGCAGCCGGTCCGGCCTCTTGGCCTCTCTATGCCTGCACTTCTGGAAACCTCTCTGAACATCTCCCAAACTCTTTTTGCTCTCAGCCTCCCTGCATCTCTCTCAGCCTTCCTGCATCTCTCTCAGCCTTCCTGCACTTCTTCCAACCTCCCAAATTACCTGCACCTCAATCCTGGTCTCCCCCCAACCCCAACTTTCATTGTCTTGCCATCTTCCCCCATTCCTTTCTTTCTTTTTTTAAAAAAAAATTTTTTTTTGAGAGAGAGATAGATAGAAACATCGATTGGCCGCCTCCTGCATGCCCCCACTGGGGATTGGGTCCACAGCCTGGGAATGTGCCCTGACCGGGAATCGAACCGGTAACCTCTTGGTGCATGGGTCGATGCTCAACCACACCGGCCGAGCCATTCTTTTCTTCTTTCTCTCCAGTACCATCTCTCCTTCCCTCTCCACACCCTCCGCCCTGTTCCTCTTGCTGCCATATCTCCCCTCAGCATCCTCTCCTCTCCTAAGGATCCTCTCCTCCACCTTCCTGCCACCGTTTATTCTGCAAAAACTACCGCACTTAGATCAGGCTGGGGAAGGGCAGCGATGTCAGGAGAGGACTCTCTAACCCGGGGCTGTTCTCTGCTGGGACCACCCAGGTGATGCCTCCAGGGCTCCACGGGGTCACAGAGCTGGCAAACCGCAGCTCCTTTGGGGACTTGTGCTGGAGTGGTGAGCGCTGTTCCAAACGCACCTGGGAGAAGGGATGGGTGCAGCTGTTGACCCTTCTCAGTCAGCCTTAGTTGACGTGTCCCACCTGGGCTTTTTAACCCAGTCGGCAAGTTTCTTAAAGGCGGGGACTGGAGTCATTCACGTGCTTTGTAACGAAGAAACCCCCAAAATAGGACCAAAGCTCCCAGCCTCAAGGAGTGACGGAGGGGCTGGGAGCTATGTAATTATTTTCTAAGAGAAGGAGGAAAGTGTGTTGCACGCGACAGTCTGCTAGGGAAACCGAGTTACGACGCGGGTTCGGAGTTAGAGGGTTTTCTGGGGGAAAAAAACACTAAAAGTAAAAAAAAAAAAAAAAAAAGGGATACATCAAACTGTTTCTCCCTTTTTGTATGCCGGATGCTGCATGAATCTGAAACACCAATAAAGGGAGATTGCATGACACTCGCTTCTAGCCTCAGTTGATCCTTACGTTGGCCCGCCACTGGGTGCGCAGGTATTGCCTTTGGGGGGAGAACCTACTGGGTAGTAAGCGCCTGCACCGTCCGGACGGCCATCTTTACTGTGGGCCGAAGCCCATCATGCCCAAGCGCCTACCTGCGCATGTGCAAGCCTTCCCTTGCTTTCTTTCCCCGAGTAGCTTTTACTAGAGCGGAGCCTTCCGCGCCATCTCTGTGCGCCTGCGTACTGTGACCCTGCGCGGCCTGCGAGGCGGGCCTTAGCTCCAGGTGCGTACGGCGGCTGAGGTGGCGGAACTGCGCGGTGTGGAGAGGGGCGGTGTGACGGCGAGAAGAGCGGTCCGGCGGGAAGTGGTTTCTGCCGTTCGCTAAGAACATCAGAGTACCGGATCTCAATCCGTGGGGCGGGGTCCTTGGAGGACATTGAGCGCCCCCTCCTGGGAACAGGCAGTGTGGTCGCAGGGACCGCTATTGGAGCCCGATTGGTTGGAAAGATCCTTAGAGACACCCCTGGGGAGCCCAGTTACTCGGAGTGGGGGGCGGGGGGGAGTCCCCGGCTTAGTACTCCTGCCTCTCCTATAATCGTAGGGTATCTTCCCTAGTGGCTTATGTCCCTTGTCCGGGGTCATGGAGACATTGTGGCCACCACGGCGGCGCCTCTGTCTGAAGAAGGGGAAGTGACCTCTGGCCTCCAAGCTCTGGCGGTGGGAGATACCGGAGGCCCTCCGGCTTCGGCCAATAAAGCCGAGGAAGAGGGGGAAGGAGTCCGGGAGGAGGCCGAGCCAGAGGGGTCTGGGATCGAGGAGGTGCAGGGAGAAGCCCCCAGCGCTGAGGGGGAAGAGCATGCCAAGGGAGAATCCGAGGACTGGTGCGTGCCCTGCAGCGATGAGGAGGTGGAGTTGCCCGCGGATGGGCAGTCCTGGATGCCGCCCCCCTCCGAAATCCAGCGGCTCTATGAACTGCTGGCTGCCCAAGGTACCCTGGAGCTTCAGGCTGAGATCCTGCCCCGCCGGCCACCCACGCCCGAGGCTCAGAGTGAAGAGGAGAGATCCGATGAGGAGCCAGAGGCCAAAGAGGAGGAAGAAGAAAAGTGAGGGCACACCCTTACACCTGGTCCTTGGGCTGCCCCCCTGAAGCCAGGAGGAAATAGGGAGGGGAGATGGGAGCCGGAGCATGGAAAATGGAGGGAGGGAAGAGAGCCGGAGAGAAAGAGTTGGCAGGCTGGGCGAAGCACATGTGTAGATGTTTGGGGAGACCACCCTCACCCTTCACTCTCTGTCTACTTGTCCCAGACCGCACATACCCACAGAATTTGACTTTGATGATGAGCCAATGACACCAAAGGACTCCCTGATTGATCGGAGACGCACCCCAGGTACTGACAAGAGGGAGGGAAGAGTTGGGGGGGAGGTGAAGGGCCTATGCTCCCACTTACCCAAAAAGTGACTCCCCAAAAGAGGCCTTTGTTTGGTGCCTTGGTTGCTATACAACTTGTTGCTGCAGGAAAAAGCATTCACACAATGGTGCCATCCTTTCAGGTTAAATTGATAACACTATATTTCTTTAAGAGAATATCACAGGTAATCCTCTTATGGCTCCCATTCCTTTTATCTCCATCTCCCCAGAAGTCCAATTTTTCCTGATCATTTATTATTACCTAGATCCACACCCCTATACTACCGTGTACATCTCCTAACCAACCCAGTTTTCACCCTATATACCTTCCTAGAATTTATGATGCTTAGAGCCATTCTTTTAAATTTTATTTTTATTTATTGATTTTAGGGAGAGAGAAACATCGATGAGAGAGAACACCAACTGGTTGTTTCCCACATGCCCCTCACTGGGGATTGGGCCCACAACCTGGGCATGTGCCCTGACGGAGAATCGAACTGAAGACCTCTTGGTGCATAGGTCGATGCTCAACCACTGAGCCACATGAGCCACACCATCTGGGCATAACATTTCTTTCTTTCTTTCTTTTTTTTAAAGTCCTCACCGGGGGATATTTTCCATTGATTTCCAGATAGAGTGAGAGGGGGGAAGAGAGAGAAAGATGAGGGAGACACATCCACTGGTTGCCTCCCACATGACCCCAACCAGGGCCAGGGACCGAACCGAAACCAAGGTATGTACCCTTGACCAGAATTGAACCCATGACTCTATGGTCCGAGGGCCAACGCTCTAACCTCTGAGCCAAACTGGCCAGGGCACTTAGAGCCATTTTTGATTTCTCTTTCTCTTACTCCAACATTCAAGCCAGCAGCAGCAAGTTCAGTAGCTCTGTCTCCACAACATTTCCAAGTTCATCTGCTACTTGTCACCTTCAACACCAAACCCTTATCCAAGCGACCATCTATATTGTCTGGATAGTTGCAGTAGCTCCTAACTGATTTCTCTGCCTCCAATCTCAGTGACCAGAATGATCATTTTAGAATATAAATCAGATCACTTCTGTGTTTAAAATCCTCCAAAGGTTTCCATTGCTGGGGAGAGACGTGAGAGCTTGTTGAGAGAGAATCTAATCCCCCACCGAGGCTTCCAAAGGCATTTCCATTTAAAATAAGAGATCCCAACCCCTTATCATGGTCTCCACCCCATTTCTTTGGCCTCATCTTTCACATCTCTCCAGCTCTTTATAGTCTTTAGGGAACAGACCTCCCTGTTTCCACCCTGGGGCCTTTGCACTTGCCCTTCCACTGCCTGGGATGGTCTTCCCTGGTAATTCCCCAGGTAATTAGTAACAGCCAGGCAGCTGCACACAGTCTCACACCCTTCCACATTCCCTTCTCCAGGAAGCTCAGCCCGGAGCCAGAAACGGGAAGCCCGCCTGGACAAAGTTCTCTCAGACATGAAGCGACACAAGAAGCTGGAGGAGCAGATCCTTCGTACTGGCAGGGACCTGTTCAGCCTGGACTCAGAGGACCCAAGCCCCACCAGCCCCCCACTACGGTCCTCAGGGAGTAGTCTCTTCCCCCGGCAGCGGAAATACTGACTGGTGCTGCCATAGGGTACAGTGTGTGTGCCTGCTGGGGCCTCGGCCTTCCTTCCCTAACCCTGGGTGCTGGGAAACTTAGGATGAAGAGAGAAACTCCAAGCTCTCAACACAGCACCCTGCCAGAAAGAGGACACGTGTGTGTTTATGTTTTCTGTTGAACATCTGTTTGGAGACCTGGGTTGAAATTTCTGAATTGAAAATAAAAAATACAAAGTTATCTTCTCTTAGAGGAGGGGCTGTAGCTGGAGTCTCAGCAGTTGTGGAAGGCAGAATTGTCTTCACCCAGGTTGAGAAGTGAGAGCCTTATGGGGCAGAGATGAACTCCATCAATACCTGCCATAGGTCCTCTGACCCTTCCTAGTCTCTTTCCAGTGAGGCCAGCTGACTCTAAGGTGGTAATTCCTGAGTGTTAAATGAGCTGCAGGGAAAGCCACCCAGAGGAGAAAAGAAGAACCAGCTGCAAGGGCCCTTTAAATGCCTAAGCCCCACCCCTGGGCCTGCCCGGGGCTCTGCTGCCAGGAAGTGATCCCTTCGGTTAGGTTCCTGAGTTTCCCCAGTCCGAGGAGCCATACTTTTGGATGTGAGTACTGGCCCAAAACCCTGAATCAGTGGTGGGGCCTTGTGTCCCTCAAGGCTATCTCTAGCTGTCTTGTCTTCTAGGGCCTTTCTTCTGCTAGGACAAGTAAAACCTTTCCTGAAGCAGAGTAGGAAGAAGGTGGGTGGAGGGCTGGCCTTTAGAGGTTTTGCTTTCCTTGGGATTTTTTCTGTCTTTTGAAGTCAAGGTGGATCAATTTGTAACCTTGCTGACACTCCTTACCTCCAAAATCTCAGGTTTCTTTAATTTCAAGCTCCCACATCAGCAGTAAGGATGAGGGAAGCTTAAGAGGTCCATTTATACTCCCTCCTGGTATTAGATGGGCCCTGCCGTACTCATCTGGCCTCTCCCTGGGGACCTGGGCTCTGGCCTGTCCCCTTTAGTTCTTAGAATGTGATTTGTCCCCACTGAGATCCTTCAACTTTGCCAAATATCGAGGCTTTCATACTGCTCCATTCAGGGCTATGCCAACTGAGGTCCTTGCAGATTATTTGAAAAGTCATTAGCAGAGTGATCTTAAGGCAGGCTTGACTTCCAGAGGGGTGGGGTCTGGTGAGCAAGGCTTTTTATCTCTTTCTTTGTGAGGGGGAAATGGAAAATAGGAAGCTCATGTGGATCCACAAGACTGTAATTCTTAGGATCTTAGATCTCAGGAGTGAAGCATGGAGAGGTAGGGGCTGGTAGTTGAGACAGATGTCGCCTGTGTTCTCCTCCTCTCCTGGATGGACCCCTGGGTTATGGGGGAAAGGCTGGCTTTCAGGAGGGGTGCTAATGGACTCCCTGGAAACACTTGCCGGTTTCTGCCCTTGGCACACAGGGCATGCATCCTGCCTGGGGTGGTGCTTTCTGCGTAGGGCAGCTCTCCAAAGCCACAAGCAGGTAGGGCAGCCGTTTGGAATAACTAGGCCTCCTTGTTGGATCTCAGGCTGCAGAAAATACTAACCTTTGAACTGCCATTGGCACTCTTTCCTGAAGAGTACCAAGCCCCACCCAAGTCCTTGTTCTATGTATTATTGACATTTGTGCCTGAGAAGCCAAGCTGTCTCTTGGTTTGGGGACTCTGCAGTCCAGCTACCTGGGGTGGAATTCTGGTTTTGGCCTTTGATCATTCAGTGATCCTGAGCCTAGGTTCTTGTGAGGAGTAAAGGAGTTAATTAAAGGAACTTAACACCATGCCTAACACAGATTAAGTTCTTAATAAGTGGCAGCTGTTATCCAGGGTTACTTGATGATGGTACAAGTTCCAGGGTCTCCAGGAAACCTCCGCCCCTTGGGTCTGGGGTGAGACCTGCAAGCGTTCCAGCTGAGTCCTATGACTGGACGAGTTTAGAAAATATGTTCTGGATCAGGGTTTCTGAAACCCGGTTCCTGGGTCACTTCTAATCTAGGCAATCCTTGCCTTTAGTGATTGGCACTAATTGGCAGCATGCGGGAGGGTGGCTAGAGGTAGGACAAGAGGCATCCTGAGCTGCTAGAGCTGCTTCTCCCACAAAGTGGCCCAGTTGGGCTGGAGCTCAGATGAGATTTTTCTAGGAGGGGGTGGGGTGAAGGGGGCCAATGGGGAATATCTAATACTTTCAACAATGAAGATAAACTTTTAAAATTCTTCCTAGGAAGAATAGTTCCTAAAATTCTGTTGCTAAATGACTTATGTGACAGTCCTCAAGAACTTTCACTATAGTCTCCTAAAGCAGAAAATAATTTTCCTAAACCAGGAAGCTGTCTGGTGAAAACAGCCTCTGTAGTGGTTGAATGTGTGAGTCATTCATCAAAGATGAGGATGTTTAAAACCAGTGAAGGGAAACTGGGAAGATGAGTGCCTGTTTGTGCTGCACTTGACATGCATTTTTCTAAACCTAAGCTTGATAGAGGTAATGGTGGCAAGGCTGAGTCACCGACCTCACCTCCAGCTTAGACCTGCCTGGACCAAGAGCCCAGGACTTGGGACAAGGGGGCTTGTGTTGGCTGGGAGACTACTTGGCCCTGGGGATGAGGGGGTTGGAGGAGAATAAATGAAATTCCCTGCCCTTGAGCAGCAGTCTGTAGTCTGAGCTCATCTTTGTTCTTCCTCCTCCTAGACATCCTTCAAGTCTCTAAACTCTCTAAAACTCACTAATCTCCAGTATCTAAACCTAGGAAACAGCCTCTTTTATTTCCACTTTGAAATCTAGGAGACTAAGGTTCAGAGGCCAGCAAGTGGCTCAAGGTCATGCCAACAGTGACAGAATTCCATTTTTACTATAGGAGTCAGGAGAGACCTTTTAAAATATAGCAATGCTTGGACCCCACTCCAGACCAATTAAATCAGAATCCCCAGAGATGGGTGGTTGCAAAAGATCTCCAGGTGACACGAATGTATAGGCAGGGCTGAGAGTGGTTGCTTTAGACCAGAGCTGCTCATACTTTAACGTGAGCCCAAATCACTGGGGTTTAGTTAAGATGCCGCTGATTCAGCAGCTCTCAGGTGCGGCCCAAGATTCTGCATGTCAAGCTTCCAGGTGAGGCTGCTCACTGCGCACCAATACACAGTGTGGCTGGTAACTTGGGCATCTGTTTAAGATTCACTGTCAGCCACTCACAGTTGTCCCTGAAGATCTCTGCTATGTAGTGACTCATCACTCATTAATTAAAATTTGCTGTAGCAGAAGTTTGTTTGAACTGAGACACAGGTGAAAGCTGTCTCTTAGCTAGAGGATGAACCCATCTCCTTCCAGGCTCTTCTGTTCTCCTCATCCACTCGTTACCCCTGCCTTTGTGTGTGAGTAGGGGGTGAGTATGGTGTAGCCAGGGAGCTGCTATCTCAGACTTTGGGGTGAAAGCTGGCTGGTTCTTACAGGAGCCTCATGACACTTGAAGGGCATGTGATCAGGCAAGTCTGAACATGTACCCAAAGAGCAGACTTAGGGTAGATCTCAGAAGCAGGCACTAAAGGGATGTCTAGACCAATTTGAGGAGTTGGGGTCAAACCCAAGTCAAGGCAGGACCTTCCCAAAGTCAACACACTCCTTAACCATTGTCTTTTGAGGGCCCTGATTTATGGGAAGTAAAATGCTCTAACTGTACATGTTATCTGGTAAACCACAAAAATTGAAATCTGAAACCTGTCACAAACATCCTGCCTGAGTCAAATGGATCCCCTGAGAGGCCCTATACTGAAACTTATGTGGATGGTGAGTGAAAAGGCCGTCTGTTTTGGGTGAACTTTGCTGATGGTCTAGGTGGAAGGCATAGCTTTAGGCATGGTGGATGGGTGGTCAGGGAGGTTAAGACAAAGTCCTGGTACTGAAACTAGGGCCTTTGGCAAGGGCTGGCTTCAGAACAAGTCAGGAGCCCAGTTTGATTAGTTGAAAGGATGACTCTCAGCTGAGTCACTGAGCTGGGCCAAGTTCTCAGCCCTCCCGACTGAGCCCAGCTGGGGTGACAGATGGTGGCGAGGCCTCAGTCATCGCGCAGTGGCGGGGGAGGGGAGGGATTATCCAAAACGGTGCCATTGGAGACTGTTTCTGGAGCCTGATTCCCAGCCTTGCATAACCTTCTAGAGTTCAAATCGTCCCTGTAGGGTCTCATGGAGCCCTGTCCATACCTCCGCCTACAGCCCTAGCTCTTTCTCTCCCCCATCTGGCTTCCTGGCCAGGCATCCATCCTGCGGAGAACCTGGCAGAGGAGCAGCTGGAAAAGGCTTCACCTGGCAGCTGGATGCCCCTCTGCAGTTCTAGCTCCACAGCTGGAGCCACACAAGACTTGCCACATTTCCTGACCAGTAAACAGGGAGGGTTGAGGCTGAGGTGCCAGGTGAGATGGGGAGCCTCCGGTGCTAGGTCACATGCTGTAAATGGACAGGGAGGTGGCCTCAGGCCCTTGCCTGCCTCAGCAGTAAGACAGTGCTTCTGAAGAGTTGGGCTCTGATCCAAGTGCTTTATAACTTGGATAGATGCCTTATCCATTCCCAGTTTATTGGCCAGGAAATGGGTATAGGGAGGACAAGGGATTTGTCTAAGATCCCCATCCAGTAAAGGGGAGAACAAAGATCCAGGCAGTTCCAGCCCCCCGGGGAACATGTGGGGGCCCCACATCAGGGAGTGATTTCAGGGATTGGAAGCACAGCTGAGCAGGATGGGGTAGTAGGAAGGAAAGAGAAAGTCCAGAAATAGTGAGGAGGGGAACAGAACCCCAAAAGTAGAATGCCAGCTGTAGTTTTTTTTATTTATTTTCCTTCTTTTTTTTTTAATTTAAAAACATTTTTTTTAATCTTCACCCAAGGGTATTTTTCCATTTACCTTCAGATAGAGGGAGGGAGGGAGAGAGAGGGAGAAAGAAAGAATCATCAATGTGAAAGAGACACATCTACTGGTTGCCTCCCGCACTGACCCCCCTACCAGGGGACCAGGGACTTAAAAGCAACCAAGGTACGTGCCCTTGACCAGAATCAAACTCAGGGCGAGCAGTAGTATTTTTAAACACTATCTGAAATCAACAGAAGAGGGAGCTTTGGCTTTAGAAAAGCAACTCCGCCCTGGCCGATTTGGCTCAAGGGTTAGAGGTCCAGAGAGACCCGGGTTCGGTTCCCAATAAGGGCATGTATCTTGGTTGCAGTTTGTCCCCGGCCCTGGGTTGGGTCGTGCAGGTGGCAGCCACTCGATGTGTACCT